GAAGTAGTAGAATAAAACCTTTGAATTGCCACCTCGATGTTATCGGTGATGATATAAATTTAAATTCTGTGAATTGCTATCTCTCTCTCTCTCTCTCTCTCTCTCTCTCTCTCTCTCTCTCTGTCCCCTCGTAGAAAAGAAACAAAAAGTTGAAACTCAGAAAAATCTGCAATTGAGGAAGTTAGACACCAAGTTCTTCTCATTTCTGATGCTCTTGAAATAAACAAACACTCCTCTGCCCCATGGTTAGTTTTTTTTCATTAAGAGTCAAAGAAGTTGATAGTGAAATAGGTGACTAATGGGGTAGCTAAAGAAATGTTGATAAAAGATATATGTTAGTGGTTGAAAATAAAAGCTTATTCCTTTCTGACAAAAATTCAGTGAGGTACCTTCTTTGAGTGAAGTAAAGATTGGAAAAACCTAAGCAAATTTTTTTCAAACACTTTTTGAGCATCTACCATGTTCCAATCACCGTGCTCTGTGAGATTCAGTGGTTCATAAAACAAAGGCCCAAACGTGCCTCTTACAGTTCAGTACAAGCACAGGTAAAGCAGTTATGGCTCAGTGCTGCCACGGTGAAATGCAGGGCACAAGGTGAGGACACAGTAGTCGGCATCACTGGACAGGGTGTCAGGAGCAGGGTGGGAGTCAGGGCTGGGAACAACAGGAAAATCGTCCTGGAAACAAGTAAGAAAACAAGCTGTAAGAAGGAGGTAGCTTGGGAGGGGTATGAGGGATAAAAACTTGCCTATTGGGTACAATGTACACTGTTCTGGTGATGAGCACACTAACGGCCTTGACTTCAGCATTAATCAATTCATTCATGTAAGAAGAACCTAATATTTTGAAATAAAAATTATACTTAAAAAAAAAAGAAGACAAGCTGACAGGTTGAAACTTGAAGGGGAAAGGGGCTGAGCACATGAAGAGTTGAAAGAAGAGTGTTCTATGCAGAAAAATTAGAAAGTCAAATCCTGGAGCGTAAGTGAGGACAGCATGTTCCAGGAACCAAAAGTTGTTTGATCCCAGTAGATGATGCAGTGGAATTGGAGCAGGAAATGAGACTAGGGAGAGAAACAGAAGCCAATCATAAATGAGTTAGTAAGCCACATTATAAAGTTTGGATTTTATCTTGAGGGCAATGAGATTCATCAAGGATATTATATTCACATTCACAATTTAGGGTAAAAAAAATCTAGTTGTAGTGTAGTGAATGCATAGCAGTGAGCATGAAGAGAGGAAAGCTAGAGAAAGAAACCGGTTTTAATGTTTTTGAAGTAATTCAGGCAAAAAAAGTTGATGTCTGAAACAAGGTATAGTGGGAGTAGGGACTGGGGGTAATAAATGAATCTGAGAGATACTTCAAAGGCATAAGCCTCAGAACTTGGGGATCAATTCTATATGGGGCAGTGAAGGAGAGAGCAGTCAAGCAGTCAAGGGAGGTGCCTTTTTTATTGTTGTTGCTTGGGCAGCTCTGCATGATGATACCATTAACTGAGATAATAAAACACAAGTATTTTGTGGGAAGAAGGATGTCACGTCAATCCTGAGCATGTTGAATCTTGGGTGTCTTTGAGGCATGCGATATAGAATAGTCCCCTAGAAATGTAGGTATAACAGTCATGAGAAAAATCTAGGCTGCAGATACTGATTTGGGAGTTGTCAATAACATTCCTTTAACTTCTGAAGCTAGATAAGATCATTCAATGATGTATAGGTTGAGATGAAGAAAGAGTACAATGATCAAACCCTTAACTATAGATATTTAAGGAACAGGATAAAATGAGCCCAAAAGTTAAACTTAGAAGGCTGACCAAAAGAGTAAAAGGAAAAGAAAGCAGCTGAGTTTGCTGTCCCAGAAACAAAGAAAACAATAAAGGACTGGAATAAGGTATTACTACTGACAGAGTCAGATATTTCATAGAAAAATAGGATAATAATAAAAATTATCCATAGACTGAGAAACAATATGGCCATTGGTGAGCTTCCTGAGAGTGATTTCTTTGGAGGTTAAGGAGAGGATCCAGATTGCACTGAAGGTTCAATTGTGGATATGAGATGAAGATTGTGCTGTAGAGCAATTTCCTCAAGAAATTTGGAAAGAGAGATTGAAAGTTACTAGGAGAGTTTGGGAAGGGATTTCTTTCAAAGACCAGAAAAGACTACAATGTATGTAAATGATTATGGGAAGAAGCTGGTACAAAATAAAATAAAGTAGGAAAATAAATGATGGAGTGAGATCCATTGGAAGTAATCCAGAGGCAAGTAGGATACAATGAGGCTACATTTCTAATTGTTCAACACAAATACTTTCTGTGTCTCCAGTCTCTGAGATTCAGGACCTAGGTATGTTGTCCTTAATTAGGAGACACAATATGGTTTGGTGGCTGAAGCATAGCCCTGCAGTCAATTATTCTAGCTTTTATCCCCAACTTTATCAGTACTTGTTTATGTAACATTTATCAAGTGGCTTAACTTGTGTGACATATAAATGCAAAGTCCTTGGTATATGTTCCTTTTATTTTAAAAAGGTAATGTGAGTAAATTGTGTCATAAGTAATATTTCTCTGGGAACAATTTCCTTATTCATAGAAACATTTTCTGTTTTATAAATTTGCATGTTTTTACGTTAGGGATATAAAGCCCTCTCCCCGCTTTTTTAAAAACCAGAACATATCTCTACTTCATCTCCATACACTCTGTCCTATGTTGCATGTCAGAGGTAACTACAACGTGAGTAATGTGGCTCTTAAAATTACTGTACAGCTTCCTGCTGCAGGTTTTAGATTGTTGAGGATGGCACCTAGTCTGTCTAAATCTTGTTCTTGAACACCATCATTGATTTGTAGTTCGTTGCAGTTGTTTTGAGATATTCAGAACACTGGCTCACTCAACTAGGTATTGGAAACTGTGAATATGAAACAATGGAACAATTGGACATTTGGGAGCTCTCAATTTTAAGCCCAATTTTAATCACCCTTGACAAGCCATTATTTCTCTCTGTGCCTCACATTCTTCCCTGTAAAAGGGGTATGGCCTTTCAGATCTTCATTGTAAAGTCTGGTAGAACATATTGCAAGTCGATGTGTTACTAGGAGAAAATGACCCTTGACCCCACTAAGTAAAGAGGGAAATAGAAATTCTATAAATAGAGATGGCTAAATAGTCTACTTCTGCCATGGGGCTTGATTTGTAATCACCAGTGTCTACCCAGAGGCCCTACAAGAGTGGAATCAAGAGGCCGAGGGAGTCTTCATCCTGCTCCCTCCTTGTTACACCCTGAATGGGTCAGCTGCCCAAATACCATCAGTGTCCACTAACAAGGACTTGTAGGGATTGTATGGCTGTCAGTCATTTGCTTCTGCAAGCAGTAAATGTTTCTGTTTTATTCATCACTACACAGAGTCTCTAATGGGCAGGAAGAATGAGAAAAAATAATTTTATTATTGGACTCTTTTGTCCTTCTCCCTCCCCCAGATACATACTTTGTCAGGGACAGCATAAGCAACTGAGTGAAAAAGAAGAAAATCACAGTCAAACCATAAACCCTGCTATTTGTAATCAGTACATAACCTCTGTGATGAAATTTGTGAGTAATTCACTTCCCACTTTAGCCTACCAGTGTGGGATCTAATGTTGCCACCCCGAACACTAATGAGGTAAGTCAGACAGCAGTACAGCTTGCCCTTGGGGACTCATTTCTCACATCACCAAAAAGTAATTTCTGTCATTTTCGGCCATCTGGTAGCCTGGATTGTGAAGATGAAGTTTTATTCAAGTAGTACTTAAGAGCGTAGGCCTTGGAGTCTGCTTGGATTCAAACTCATTTTCTGCCCCTCACCCAGCTCTCTCTATGCCTTAATTTCCCACCCATAAATAAAATCCCCATAGGATATCATTTCTTTATTATAAGAAGTTATTAAAATAACTTTTCAGGACTGAAAAAAACTCAACCGTTTTGAAACCAGGGTTTTGAAGTAAATCTTGTAGAATAAAAACAGTTATTTGAGTTATTTGCTGTAAGGTGAGCCGTCCAATGGTATCTTAAATGTATTTTCAGGAAGTTCGGGAAACAAATAATAAAGATATTTGCAAGCTCTATATTCCTGAGCAAGAGTTTTTGTTAAATAGTAAAGTCATGTTGATGAAGACAGTAAACTGCGTGAATTTAGATGGTTTGGTTTCCAGTTGTTTATGTGCTTCATTTAATTGGCAAACATTGATAAAATAAATCTAATTCTTCTTTAAAAAGTATTGAAATTATACTTGTTAAGTACTTTACATAGGGTCTTATGTATAGTAAATGTTTCATTAAAGTTAGCTATTATTAAATTTTCAGTGGTGGTAGCAGTGGTAGCGTTGGAAGTAATAGTATTTTTATAATGTCTATGGTATCTGTGACATAGGTTTTATTAATTAACTTATTAATTAAGTTTCTTATTAATTAAGTTTTTAAGTTCTAAGGTACATCATAGACCCTGTCACACACCCGGATGATATTTAGAAGCTTTCTATTGTGGTGATTAATCCATGGTTTCCTTATGTGGCTAGATTTTAAGTAACCAAGTATTACTACATTTTAATAACACTTCAATGCAACATTATACTAAATAGCATTGTTTTTCTTTTCCTGGTATTTGGAGGAGAGATTGTACTATATTTTATATACATAAAAATAAATATAAGTAACAGTGATAAGAAAAATGTATTAATTTTTATAAATGTACATGCTCTCTAATATTAAATACAGTCCATTCTAATCAAAAAAGAACCAATAAATTTTCATTAGATGACACTATGTACTTCTACTCACTCAGATGGCTATGGGGAGGTATTCTTACCTTATAGTGCTGCTTTAGGAGCTCCTTACAAATTTGGTGAGCAGATAATGAGCACAAGTCTTTAAAGCACAAATTTGCAACTTTCAATTGCGTGGACCAGTGTTACAAGCTGGATCTTACTAACATGGTTACATACTCCACTTGCTTTTATCTTTACAGTCCCACCAAAGATCTCCAACATCTCCTCGGATGTCACTGTGAATGAGGGCAGCAATGTGACCCTGGTCTGCATGGCCAATGGCCGTCCTGAACCTGTTATCACCTGGAGACACCTTACACCTACTGGTAAGCAACCCTCCAGTTTCCAATTGCCACATTCTGTTCATAATGTAAAAGATACCCTCCTGCTTCAGAGATTCCACTGAATCAGAAAGGCAAACATGTCTGTTATTATTAAAACACTAAGAGAATTGCAACATATGTTTTATTTGGGATCCTTATGGTCTTTGCTAATGTGTTATCTATAAAATTTACAACCACAGTACTGAAAATATATATATTAATATACATATGTATACATGATTTCATTTTCAATAAAACAGCCCCCAAGGCAACAAATATAGAAGCACTGGATTATTTGATATTGTACATAAAATGGATGCTAGTTTGGTGCTTGAGTGTCATGGAGCAATGTTTTGTATGAATTAAGTTTACATAGTTGTTTTTATATTTGTTTGTTTTGCTTTGCTGTTTACTATAGTTTCCTAATATGTAGCACTTTTTGAAGAAATCTGTCAAGAATAATACAAAATTGTTTCTCGTCTCTAATGTTCTGTCTTTGACATCTGGTTCCATGTTGGGCATCAGACATGGGCAAAGCTACATGAGCTCATTATGGATCCCAGCTCCAGATACTAAATCAGTAAAATCAGAAAATCACTTCCCAGGATTGTCTTCTATATCCTTTCCTGTCCCTTCTCACCACCATCACCACAGAAAGGAGAGAAAGGAGGCTTTCCGGCTTTGTAAACTTTATTTAAATGTCTTTTCCAAATTATTTAGGATTAACCACCTGCATACTTCCCTATTCTACCAATTATATTTTCTTAAATGCAAAACCATGCCTTTGCCAATGACACGGTCTTTGTAGAATGATGCCTGCTACTTAATTGTTCCAGAAAGAGGAGCTATGGGTCAATTATTCTTATAACATATTGTTTATTTTGGTAGAAAGCCTCCAAGTTTTAACTGATTTATATGCGATAGCCTGTTAAAGTTTTCTCATATAAGTACTTAGAAATTTAAGTTACCATATATTCATTTTGGAATGAACACCATAAAAAATATCGTGCAAAGCTAGACATATGATAGGAGCTTTTCTGACATGTTTCTAAAAGGCCAGGATAGTGTCTGGTTATAGTGTCTTTAAAAACTTTTTATTTTTTGAATAAAGAGGGAGCCTTCATTTACCATTAGACCCCAAATTAACCTCTCAGGTAAAGTTCGGACCAACCTATGGAGTGGTCTTATATGTAGGCAGGTATTCTTATGGAGGCCTCTATTATCTTAAGAAAATGTCACTCAAAACCCATCTTTATTAACACATGCAATTCATCATTTATCAATAATCAATGATTATTTGGGAAATCAATATCAAACTTATTTCCTCACAGACTCATTTTAGACCTCACATGGAAAAAAATACATAATGGAGGATGGTTTGAAGTATGAATCTGCGGATATCATACCCTGTTCCCATTGAATAAATTAAACCTTCAGACACATTCTACTTGGATGGTATTATATTAACCCCCAATTCCACACTACCCTCCCCATCTCAAATAGAATTGCTTTAATTTATGGCAATTTGGTATAGAGGCTACTAGTTCATGTTTAAGGATATTGTAAAAGATACCTTCTAAAATCATTGTGTTTACTGTTGTTATTGAGAGATGATTAATTTTTTACAGAATTTTCCTTTGAAAGAACCCTTTGAAGAAATTCCCCTTTGTTTTCAATATCTCTACTGTCTTTTTCCTAAGCAATAGTTTGTTTTTTTTAAGAATAGGACTGGTGAATTTTTGTAAATGATCATGTGTCCTTCACTGTATTGACTGTTAACAAAATTAGAACCAAATTTATGGACCATCTGTAAATAAATATAAATTATTATACAGAAAATACACATTAAAATTTATTTTAAACAAACTATGTAGGAGTTTATGACACCAAATTTATATCCCTGCTGTCATCTTGTTTTTTACCAATTATTTTCATTTTGTCTCACCTTTTCTAATTAATTTAAATGTCTATATAAAGATATTACTTATAATCTCTTTTGTGGAACAGGTGGTAGTTAAAAGAATTAAAAAAGGAGAGAGAAAGGAAGGAAGACACATTATATTCAACTTACAATCAAGTAATGAACTGCATTAATAGAAAGAAAGACATTATTTCTTTTGGGACAATACTGACTTGAACCCCAAAACAGATTCTTTTTTATCTCTTGAGTTTAGAAAAATTCCAAGATAGAACCAGAGTTTCAGGGCCTTTCCCAGCTTGTCTAAAAGTTTAGGTCTTCATAGGTAACTCCAATAAACTTTCCCAGGATAATAAGCATTTGATTTGAGCCCTTGATGACATGGTTTTCTATCATGTCTCAAGTCAACAAAAGACCAGAGGACAGCCTGTCTTCCAGAGTAAAGACAGAATTTACACACAGAGAGAGAACCCTGGAGACTTCAAAATCAACTAGAAAAACAGGTGTACTCACAGGGTTGGGCAACTTCCGGCCCTTGGGCCAATTCCATTTTGCCCGGTTTTTTTTTTGCTTGCAGGTTAGGATTGTTTTTTAATTTTTTAATTGGGGGGAACCATTAAAAGGGGGATTTTTTTTTTTTTGCCTTGCAAAAAAATATGTAAAATTCAAATTTCAGTGTACATACATACAGTTTTATTGAAACACACCCATGTTCATTCATTTACATATTGTCTATGGTTGTTTTTTGTTCTAAAACAACAGAGTTGAGTAGTTGCAACAAATATCACTTGGCCCACAAATCCTAAAATATTTTCTATTTGGTCCTTGACAAAAAAGTTTACAAACTCCTGTCCATGGCTTGAGACACAGGACAAGGATTTGCTGCATTCATCCCTGGCTCCATAGGGCTTTAGGGATAGACATCCTCTCTCAGGAGCCTTCGACATGTCAACGGAAAAATAATGACTCTTCTATAGTCTCCTATCTAGGCCCACTCTGTGGGTCAGATTCTATTCTGACACATGCAACACTAGCTCCCTGATGCATTTGCAGACTACTATTCCTCCTTACACTCCCAAGTCTATTCTTTCATCCCTTTCACATCTGACCTAAATAACCACGATCATAACCATATTACTGGTGACAGGAGAGAGAACTTGTCTTTACTATTTTAAAAGGAAGCTAGGGTTTTTTTGTTTTGTTTCTGTGGAGTTTTACAAAATTTCTTTCAAAATTTGGAAACAGTAGGCGATTCTTTTCAGCCTATAATGTGAAGCCTTTCTTGGAGACACCCAAAAAAGAGACTCTGCTCCCTGCATGACAGCAAAGCTGCCTGCAACCCGTGGCCATGTGAACAAAAAAAATTTCAGCGAGCTTTGTTCAATTATTAATTGTGCTTTCAACAGCACAGAGTTTGACTGCCTTGCAGAGGAAATGTACCTGTAATTAGTTCGACCTCACAAGAACATCGGACCCTGAAAGAGGGAAAATTCCACTCAGGGTTCACAAAAACCTGATTACCTTTCACTGGATAACATGAGAAGGAGAAAAGAAAGAAAGACGCATGGTATATTTTTACTAGGAGAATATTTATTACTTCTTAATTTTTTTTTTAATTTTGGTTAGGCCATTTTGTTTCTCTTTCTTTTGACACCCAGAGTTTCTCTTTCAATTATACCGCAAGTATTTTTAAAGAGGGAAATTAGAAGAACGGTAAATTTTTCATACATACAAAATCAAAAACATTTACCTAGCTTAGATGAAGTAGAAGACATTGATGCATTCCATGGGTATCTTTCTTGTATTTCTGATTTCTTAATTTTTCTCTCTTCTTCAGTTATCTTATATAGTCGAAATGGTATGTCACATATGTGGTTATTAAATATGACCTATTTTCTCCCTTAATTAAGTTAGACTTTCATAATCCTGTGACTCCCAGAGGGCAATTGCACCGTAACATGTATTTTCTATGGAGTGTTTGATCTTCCTTCTGTGAGCAATGCTGCTCCCATCTTCATTTAACTTTGTTTCTAAATCTTTCTTCTTGCATTCATAAGGAAGTCCCTTTCTCAAATGTGCATCATGTGGTGTCAAGATTGCTTAGGGTCACAGAAAGAGTTTCTATACATTTCATTTCTACAAAGCTTTTCACAACCTCGGTAGCTTTCTACCTCTAAAAAACTCAAAAAGCACATTGAGGATTTAGCCCCTTAGGCTGAGAACAACTCAGGAGGTATTATGTAATTTTCTTGTCCAGCCAGAAGCCAGATTTGACATCAACACAGAGTATAGGAATCTCACTTAGGAAATACTTTGTATTTCTATGAGGTGAGTGGGAAAATATTATGCTGGGAGAAGCTGATAGGACCCCACAAAGTCTGAAATCCCATTTTGGGATTTAATCACTTGGCCTGAGATTCCTCTTTCAATTCATTTCCAAGTCTGAACCTTTGACAAATGGTACTCTTGAACTCCACTAATGCTAAACTCCCATATGCCTAGTTTCTAATTGTACAGCTCACCCAATATGACAAGCATAGACTCTGATTTCATGGATATGGGCAAAATATATAATGTTAAATTTAACTCATTTATTTAAGTTGAATTCCAGAAATATGAGTTGCAAGTAATTATCGTCTGGTCCTTTGAGTATAGCAGTGTTAGAATTAGTAAGACTTTATATTTAACACAGAGAACCTAAGATTTACAGTTTAAGTTTCAGAAAATTATTTCTCTGGGCTATTTTTGTATGGCCCTTCCAGAAGATTCTGTGAGTCAAACTTTGTAGCATGTGGCTGTGGAAGAATCAAACCTATGCACTTGATGGGTAAACACTATTGACCTCAGAGTAACAATTCAAAGAAGAATAATGGCTCAACTTATTCTATTAATTTTATTTACTTCTTTATTGCATTTTTTTAAATATTCACCTTTTCCTTTTAAAAGAGGAGAAAAATAAAGAAAAATTCTGTTTTCTTTTTGCTGTCTTACTTGTATATTGGTTTTGAATTATGTCATCCATCAATACAGAATGATATTTAGTTTAATGATGATTTCTATTTATTCATTTGTCAAGAATTATAGC